GGTGTAACATTGGTTTTGCTTTGTTTCACAGAACTAATCGTTGCCTGGGTTGTGTACGTATGTGTGGGGCGGAGCTACCAAAATAGGGGCGAGACCCTTTTGGGGTAGGGGCGTGTTTGTTTTGGTGATTTCAAATGTCAACATTGGCTACCAGAAATCGCTTACCCCACCTTTAAAGTTGTCCAAATGAAGTTCTTAGCAATGCATATTACTAATCAAAAATTAAGTTCTGATATATTTACGGTAGGAAATTTACAAAATATCTTCATGGAACATGATCTTTACTTAATATCCTAATGATTTTTGGCATAAAAGAAAAATTGATAATTTTGACCCATACAATGTATTTTTGGCTATTGCTACAAATATACCCCAGCGACTTAAGACTGCTTTTGTGCTCCAGGGTCACATATGTCCTTGCTAAGCCACCCTAAAAATGACAGACGAATTTCTTTAAGCTACAGCAGTGTCTTCACTAACGTGGAGAAAAACAACTGCATGGCATCAAAATAAAAACTAAAGAATAGTGAAAGATTTACAATAACACAATTAAAACCTCTCCTCAGTACAACAAGCCAGCCTTTTCTAACATGCTTGGCTGAACGTAATGAAGTATCGATTAGCCAACGCAGGTGTGGAGGAGACAGGATTTACAAACTCCAGAGGAACTCCATGTGAAGTGCTCTTACACAGATCAACTGCTTTGGCTTCAGGACCAAAATATAGATCCAGTGGCCACCCAAAACCACTGTCCTAAAACTCAAACACTGCTAATATTCCCATGCATTACATTAATATGCCATGAAGCTGAATAGCAGAAAGCCAACCTGTATTTAGCCTAATGCATTCTAAATCATGTTTTCTTTGCATGGTTTTGTTCATGATGTTTGAGATTTATTTTGCTACATCCTAACATTGCGTTAGGCAAGTTGTTTTCAATTTAGCATATTTTCAGTGCTGTCCACAACCCTATCAAAACAGAGCTGTGATGAGATGCACTCAAAACCAATCAAATCCATTTTATTTCTTCCGAACACTTTTCAGCTTCACACAGACGCATTAAAAGCTCCAGTGAGAAAGTCAGAACAGACAGCAGGAACGACAAACATAGTCCGGGGTCACAAGAAATCAGTATTCATGTGCCAAGCCTTCTTTCCAAACCCTGCCTACAGAGCAAACACTGTGTAACCCAGTTAATATTCATGAGCCAAGCCTTCGCCGTGGCAGCATTTGTGAACTCACACCCACGTACCGAACTCAGTCTGTGCTACGGATGGAAGGATCTTTTTCAGTTTTAATATTAACCTTATACCATTTCATTGACCTCTCTAGCTAAAAATGAGAAGAAAAAAGTCCAATTTGGATTTGGATCAGTTGAATATGTTGTTACAGTATTGGCTAGCACTGCTTTATATTCTGCTTTGCTGATTTTCTCCATGTCCCTCTGATTGTACAATCACGAACACTGACCGTAGGTGATAGACGTAAAGCCTTCACTTCTAAGCATGTTTTTTTAATGCGCTCTCATTGAAATTTCAGCAGATGGTTCCAAGGAAGACCTACTACTGTTCCAAGCCTTTCCATTTATAGACTACAACGTGAAGACTGCTGGAGACTCAGAGACTTAGAAACGACTTTTAACTTCTTCCAAAGTGAAAGACGTCAGCAACGTTTTTCTGATCTCTTCTGAAAAAAGAAGACAATGTTTTTGCTGTAAGAGTGACTCTGATTGTCATATTTCTTTCTTTATTTATGGGCAAAGATCACCGGAACAACAACACAATATGTGATGTTTTACGTATTTGTATTTTTATTTAGTGCATTATCGTGTTGCCACAGAGAATGATGGGTAAATTAATCACATTTAAGCTGACTAGAAGAGTAGTACATTTTCATATCTTCCACTATGATTCTTCATCTGACAAGCCTGCCGCTCAGAAAAGCTGAACTTTAAGTAAATTCAGAGTTTCCTATTGTAATTAAGACATTGCGGTGATGCAGCATCTGTGGGGTCTTCTGAGCTAAAACTTCACATACACACTCTAGGGACTTATTTTGCATCTTGTAAAACGGGGCCATAATAGGTCCCCTATAAAAGGTGATGAGCATTTCAATAATCTAAAGAACTTTTTTTCCCACTGTAAAGAACTGAAAGGTTTCATGAATGTTAAAAAACTTTGGTATTATAACAGAGCCTACTCTGTCTCCTGTGTCACAGACAGGTGCTTTCAGTGCAGACTGCTTCATTGATAGGATTTTTGGGCTTTGTTTTTTCACTGTGCAATGCATTATAATCAGTGCAGACGTGTTGGTTGTTTATGGTTGACCGGCGATATCACAACTTGCTGCATTAAAATAATTCAGCTGGTGAGCAGTTTCTGATGTGAGCAGCAACCGCTTCCAATGGCTCATCTGATTCAGAGTCAGAACAATCTGTTTTATAATATTACTTTTATTGTTTTGACAGATTTTGTTGCATAACGTGGAGCTGTTATTGCATTGATGTCAGATGCATTCATTTGTAATGAATAATATTTGATTTGTGTCCATCAGTCTAAACAAAAACAGACAATCCAATGAGATGATGCCACTTTCATTTGTAACGTACGTAATTTACTGGACTTTCAACAAAACTGGCATTACTATATGCTTATATAACACATTTACAATTTAGGGTTGAATTTCAAGGAAAAATAACCATATGATGTATATGTACACTACTGTTCAAATGTTTTTTTTTGTTATTATTAATTTTCAAATGTTTTTGAAAGAAGTCTCTTCTGCTCACTAAGGCTGCATTTATTTGATTAAAATACAGTAAAAATTGTAACATTGTGAAATATTATTACTATTCAAAATAGCTGTTTTCTATGTGGATATATGTTAAAGTGTAATTTATTTCTGTGATGCGCAGCTGTATTTTCAGCATCATTCCTCCAGTCTTCAGTGTCACATGATCTTCAGAAATCATTCTAATATGCTGATTTGCTGCTCAAGAAACATTTCTGATTATTATCAATGTTGAAAACAGTTGTGCTGCACAATATTTTTGTAGAAACCATCATACATTGTCCAAATGTCATTTATTTGAAATAGAAATCTTTTGTAACGTTTAAAAACATATTTATTGTCACTTTTGATCAATTTAATGCATGCTTGCCAAATAACTGATTTTGTAAAAAAAAAAATAAAAAAAAAAAATGTAATGGTGGTGTATGAATTATAATTACTTATAATATCATTACTTCATGTTGAAATTTACATCTACTTTTTAGGTAGTGGCAGGTTATTTTGCTCATCTTCCCTTAAATTTCGTTGCTTAAACACAAGGAAATTATATTTTTATGTCATTTGTGAGCAGTCTGAATTAAATGTGATGAGATAAAAGACAGTTTTAAAAAATACCAATGGAAAGAAAGCACCTTTCTATCATGTAGTCTTCGCAGGCTGCACAGAAAAACTTCACAAACAAAAGACTCATGGACTTGGTTTTTAATAAAGTTAATGGTATGAATTAGCCAGGTTTTTTTAATAAGTGCTATTTTAAGCAATGAATTCAAAGAGGGCCATCTTCATCTTGAAATTATCATCTGCCACCAGTCGAATGAGATATTTTAAGCAATAAATAGTGTGTGCAAAGAGGGCCATTTTTGGTTTACTTGACATTCTCCATCTACTACGGCTGGTGGGCAAACAAAGTAGATTTTGTGCCCGTATGTGTGCTGATTGGGTGAGTGCTCATGTGTGCTAACTAACCTCCAGTCCATTTTCTCCACCAGGTAGGCACATATTAAAAAGCCGGTGCGGTTGAAGCCATGCGTGCAGTGAACGCCTGCGGGAGACAGAACACAACAGTGACTTCAACACAACTGAATCACACATTATTCACACAGCCCACCCACCCGCCAAACCAATCACTCTGGACACATGAACGATTTTCATCCTTCACTGAAATCTATATCATAATTTTTGGTTATTTATGCGGTCTGAGACCGCTGGCCTTCGAACTGATGACAGAAGCAAGCCCTTCATTTGTGGACTCACTGATACATGTATTAAATATGCAGCGCTGAGTGCTGAACTCTGGTCGAGCCAGCCGCAGCTTGCAAATAGCTGTGTGAACTTATTAAGATAATTACAGTCATCAGCAGGAAGTGCGGAGAGACGTGCTTCCCAAGCGTTTCTTTCACAGAGCTGGCCTTTTGTTTCGAGTTTGCCGCTTTTGCAACAGGGTAATAATCAAAGAGTGATGAAAAACAGCGAGATGCAAAAGCTGAAGTCGTCCATATAACACATACATAGTAGTAGAGCCGCAATATACTAGAACTGACAATAAACCTGATGAAAAATAAAAATTAAAGCAACTCTATGCAGTTTTGTGTATTTTTGTGAGCCTCCTACAGTTAAGGAGTTCCTAAAGTTGAGTGGATTTCACTTTCGTAAATATACGTATCAGTGGATCAACCCGAAATATATCTAGTGGTCGACCGATATTGATTTCCTAATGGTCAATGCCAACATGTTATTGCATTTAAAAACTTGAGCAGTGGAATTTAAAAAAAAAATTGCAACGTAGTTTAACTTGACTTTTAACTTGATCGTAGGCTTGCCGCGATATACGGTGCTGACGGTGATACCGGTGTTAAGCTGCAACACCGGTTACATCAGTTGCCCACCAATTTAGTCATTTTGATTTTTTATAGTAATAAAAATAATTTAGTTCAGTAAAAGAACAGACACTACAATTACAAACTGAACGCGGCTGCTCAATGCAGCGTGCCGAACGACAGTCGCATCACAGATCAGATTTCATTTCTCCAGTGAGGAGAGTGAGTCCAGCTGACTGACAAGAAGAGTGAGGTGAGACGGACAAGACGATCGCGGATGATTTAGTTTCAAAACGAGATGCAAAAGTGCCTGTTTGGCAATATTTAGGATTTTGAAAAGCCTGTTGACTTTATCTGATTTTGGAAGTTTTTTTTAACATTCGTTTCTTATTTAATTGGTTCCACATTGTTTGCTGATTTTTACTTTATTTAAACTTTGTGTCATTTGTTTATTTTATTTGACATCAAGGTGTATGCCGTGCCTCCAACCTTTCTTACTCGTTTTGCTAATAAACTTTCTACTTTCTTATTTATTTAGTTATATATTATACATGTTAACTTATTTCCAGTTTTGTATACCTATTTAAAGTTTATGTAAGTTATTGTTATTTTATATTAGGCATAGCCTATAGCATGGTGTATTTTAAAATTTCCTCACCGTCACAACCCTACTTGATTGGTGAATTTTCAGAAGCTGCAAAAGATGTGAAATGAGAGCAAGCAACGGTCAGTTACATCTGTCTAGAGCATGTTTACATACTGCAGAAAACCAATGGAAAAGCAGCACAGTGAAATGCAAAAACAGCTTCAAAATGTGCTTCCACAGACGCTGAAAAATGAAGCTAGAGTTAAGCACGAGGAGCTCATGACATTTACCCCGTCTACACCGGCAAAGCAAACAAAGCCCATTCGGATCAATGATGCTGTCTGCTGTGGATGTGCACCCGACAGCAAACAGATGCCCCATGCTATTTCTGACATTCAGGCAAAAAAGATGCAGAAAGATCAGATCTTTTTTCAGTGCAGACAGCATCAATCATGATTCATGTATGCAGTCCTGTCATTCTCATCCTAACGAACAATCTTCACGTCCTCCACACAAAGAGAGGCCAACACACCAGCTGATGACACCTGACTGAGGAAATAAACACAGACAGTAAGCTGTGCTTGATTTGTAACAGCAGTGATCTGACCCACCAGCAGCGAAAGCAAATCATCGTCTTGCAGTTTTCCAAAGACGTAAAGCAACATCTCTGGTCGTGCCGCCGATCCTGATCACTGCTCACTATGTACAATAAAGACACGGCTCATACTCTTATACAAGCAGTGCTATTTTAGTATCATTAAGATGCTATTATACAGTGTTGGGTGTAATGCATTACTAAGCAATTAATTACTGGAATTTAATTACTTTTCCGTTGTAAAAGTTAGGGATACTCTAATAATTCTGGGCCGGTTTCATAGACAGGGCTTAGCCTAAACCAGGATTAGGCCATAGTTCAATTAAGACATTTAAGTAATTTTTATAAACGTGCCTTAAAAATAAACATTACTGGTGTGCATCTTGAGACAAAACAGAGGCACTGATATATTTTAAGATCAGTCAGTGCAAGTTTCTTTTAGTTGAAACAGCTCAGACTTACATTTTAGTCTGGGACTAGGCTTAAGGCATGTCTGTGAAACTGGGGGCTGATGAAATTAAATTAAATACTGTTTAGAACAATTCGGAATAAAACAATATTAGAACATCTCATGTTAAAGAATATGTTTTTAGTGTAACCTCCATTTAAATACTGTACTTTGGTCAGTTGAAGAATAATTTATGCAATTTTGTTTTATTTCTTTTAAAGAATTAAAAGAGCAGTTTCATATCGGTCTTTGTATTGCTCAACTGGTCAAGGTTGATATGGGATTTAAAAAGTAACAAGTAATGCAATACTTTTCAGAGAGTGTATTTAGTACAGTAATCTAATTACAATGTTGAAGATGTAATCAACAGCTAGAAATTAATTACTTTTTTTAAGTGTAATCTACCCAATAGAGCTATTAGTTTGTTTGTTTTTTATATAATTTTGTTTTTGTCATATGCATATATACTTTTTCTAAATGTTTCTTTCAGTTTTAGCTTTATTTATATTTATTATTATAATATTTATTTTAGTACATTAAGTCAAACTAAATGAAAATGAGAAATGTTGCCTTGGCAACAATTTAAAATTTATATCATTTTTAAAGAATTTTTTCTCCAAATATAATTTTTTTAAATATTTTATTTCATGTAACAAATGTTTTTTTTTTATGGTTGTATGGCTGTACCAAATGCAATGTTGGATGGGTTGTACTGTTCTGTTTTTTGTGTGTGTGTGTGTGTGTGTGTGTGAGTGTGTGAGTCCATGTGTGTGTGCGTGTGTGTGAGTGCGTGCGTGCGTGCATGCGTTTGAGTGTGTGTGCGCGTGTGTGTGTGTGTAGCCTCTGTCAAGGCACTGCTAGATGGACCCAATGATGGAGTGATTCTTTAAAAACAAGCGTCCATCAATAGTAATGCGCGTGTTCAGTCATCAATCTGCGAGCTGTGTTCAGCCCACTGTCAGTGGTTGTGAACAGCCCAAACTATTGCACACAAAAACACAAAGCTTGTACAAAATGATATGCAAATTTGTTCTGCAGACCCGCAGCTTCCTGCACTGCAGTTTGAAAGACTCTACAACGCTTAAAGAGCTCAGCTACCATTGCAGGAACAAGTATGTGATCCCTTACAGGGCTGTACAGTGCGACATATATGTCGCACGTGCTACGAAAAAACTGGTCTGTGCGATGAATAAATTTACCACTGTAGCACGGGTGCGATACAGTTTTGCATGTTCATAACACAGCTGCTTAATAGTGTGAAGTGATTTCGTTGTGCTTGTTTGTGTGTGTGAGGTTGATTATCTATGTGAAAAAAAAGTTAACATACAGCCCTGCCTTAGGATTTACCTGGATTTCTGCATACATTGATCAACAAATTTAATTTCATGTCTTAGCCTAATGAACACGTAATGAATTCTAAAATACATCAGGAAATTTGTGAGGCAAGTGTAAAGTCAACTGAATGTGTGATGTGACAGGACAAAAACCAACAGAAGAAAATACACCTTCTGGAGTCACAGTCCTGACCTCAACCCGGTTTTGCCGGTTTTGCCATGAACTCAAGAGAGCAATTCTATCCAAAGAATATTGCAGAAGAAATGGTGCAAAAGTCCTCCTGAATGTTGTAAATGTCTGAGCTGCAATTACAGGAAACGTTTGGTGGAGGTTACTGCTGTCAAATGGACGGTCAATAATTGATTAAATCTAAGGTTCACATAGCTACACTACTGTTCAAAAGTTTTTTGTTTTTTTTTATGCATTTTTTTATGCACACTCAAGGATGCATTAAATCAAAGAGATTGTTCTTTCTATTCACCAAAGGAAAAAAAAAAGAAAGAAAAAAAAGTTGTGGTTTCCACAAAATATGAAGCAGCACAACTGTTTTCAACATTGAGAATGATTTCTGAAGATCATGTGACACTGAAGACTGGAGTAATGATACTGAAAATTACATTTTACAGTATAATCATAAAAAAACAAACAAAATAATATTTCAGTATTACTGTTTTTACTGTATTTTTGATCAAATAAACTAGTGCTGTCAAACAATTAATCGCATTCAAAAAAAGTTTGCGTTTACATAATATACTGTATGTGTGTGTACTGTTTATTTATTATGTATATATAAATACACACGCATTCAGTATATATTTTGAAAATATTTACATGTATATGCATTTATATATTTATATTATTATATTTTATATGGTATATAAATACATTTAATACATAAACATAACATATTTTTCTTAAATATATACATGCATATGTGTGTGTTTTTTATATTATTATATTATATATAAATAGATTTAATATAGAAATATAACATTTTTCTTAAATATATACATGTGTGTGTATTTATATATACATAATAAATAAACACAGTACACACACATATATTATGTAAACAAAAACTTTTATTTTGGATGCGATTAATCGTTTGACAGCACTACAATAAATGCATCCTTGGTGAGCAGAAGCAATTTCCTTCAAAAAACATTGTAAAAAATCTTACCAACCCTAAACTAGGGCTGCACGAAATCATAATTGTCGATTATTCCCTTGAAATTGTAATTGCGATTATTAATTACGATTA